GTTATTTACTAATAGTTTATTATAATTTTGACAGAATTTAGACAGTCACTAAGAGATTTCGGCAAGCAACCTTAAATGAGATACAATATAAAAATAAAGGGATAAATTAATTTGATTATTATTATATTATATTAATTTACTTTGTAATATATCTTAATTTTTATTGAAAATAGTAACAATACTATATTTTCAAGAAACAATATTTCATAATTATAAAACTCAAATCAATATATTTATTCCTTTTATTATAAATGGCTGGAAAAATATATGTTCTGAACAAAACAAAATGTAAAAAAACACAAATATTTACAAAAAAATCTAGAATACAATATTATTGTAAATTTAATAAAGAAAAATTAATATAAATACATTATATTCATTTTTATTACTAAAAGTAAATCTATGTTAGCAGTATTATTTATTTATTAAAGAATTGTCTTATCTATTATTATAAAATTTAAGTTATGAGTCTGTGCATGCAATGTTACATGCACCCATGCAATATAATCCAAGAAAAAATTTAGCAGGCAAATTTGCCTGCTGGATGGTTTAAGACTATAAGCAGTCCACTATGAGCAATTCACTACAAGCGATTTACTGCAAGCAATTTATTATGATCAATTTACTACAAGTAATTCACTATAAGCAATTCATTATGATCAATTCACTGCATCGATTGAGAATGGAAGTCTCACTCAAAATGTTAGTAACCGGGAACCGGACAAACAGGGTTCGAACCGCTCACTTGTGGAACCTCCTCATCCTTACTTCCGGCACCTTGTTAGAAACCAATTCTTTCGCCAATTCCCCGGAAAAAAAATAAGTAATGCCAAAGCCAATAAAAGAACAAGGCATTGAGCTCGACTACGAAAATCGATCATGTGAACTTCGTCTCTATCCAAATGGCTGGTTCTATGAAATAGCTTCTGGAGAAAAAAAGACGCGAAGTCTAAGCGTGCGACTAACTCACCTTTACACGTTGTTAAATCTGTTAAAGACAAGTTTATTACAGCAAAACTATTCGCGTGCAATTAGGATTCTTGAAATCTTAGCAGGGGTTTCAGAGTTGTCGGAGATTACCTTCTGGCAGGTACTGACCTTTGACTTTTTGAGTACTGGTGATTTATTTATTGATTGATTGATTATCTTGAAAGAAGCTTTTGAGACAAGCAGGAAAAATCAATTAACTATACATACATAGTTTTTCTTAGACGTGATGAAGAATTTATCGCCTAATAACAACGAATGCGTGAAATTATTTAATTTTTTTATCGGATTTATTGAACAACGCGTAAGTTTTGATTAAAATATCTATCTTCTTTATAGCTTTATATAATGCGGATCGTTTATAATATTACTTGTTGATTTACTGACTAATTGATTAATTGATCAATTAATTAGCGTCCAGAACTGTGCCTCGAATTAGGATTCTTTCATGTAAAAAATGATGATGCTGAACGGGCATTCGAGTTGCTTAGTCCGTACGTAAGCACGAATATTTATTATCACCATTCTTATTAATATTAAATAGCATTCTTATTTTTAACGAATTTATACAAAAATAAAAGATTTACACAGAATTATTCCAATGATCCACTTTTTCTTGGATATTTCGGGATATTAGCATATGGAATGTGGGAACAAGAAGCCATACGATTGAATTTAGTGAAAAAGATTCGCCGTCATCACTATTCTATTGAAGATTCACAATCACAATCAACGATATTTGCATACTGGTTCGTAGTAAATGATAAAGAAGACGGAAGTATTGATGATGATCGAACAAGACTTGAAAAGTATTATCAATCAGCTGCAAAGAATTTGAAGACTTCTTTGTTTATTGAATTTTCGAATGATATATTTTTGGTGTATTATGTTCGGGTACGTACCCTATGCATATATATTTACTAAATATTATATTCTTATTCGAGATTGTACATTATTTTATTAGCTGCAAACGAGTATGAATCATGTTGATGGCGCTTTGGCGATGACAATGAGATATATCTCTGAAAATCCGGATATTTTGAGTGGGCACAGGTGAATAAATTTAATTTCTGTATTATTCCATGTAGAATAATTTTTATGTTGTTGATTCAGTAATTTATCTATACTGAAATCTGTTTTATATATTCTTATTTCAGACTTCTATTTGAGATTTGTTATAACTATAAACGTGACGAAGAAGCACAATGGGTCAATGCAGGAAAAACTTTTCATCGTATGGATCCTTCTACTCCCGAACAATTAGTGCTTAGACCATTGTGTGAATATTACGAAAAAATTATCGGTGAGTGAATAAATCGTAATGAGATTTATTTCCTTGATTTCTCGGATTCTGATTTTATATGACAAACATCAATCGATTTGGTGATTGTTTGTACGTAATTTTATTATTTTTTCATAGAAAAGATCAAGATCGAGAATATAAGGGAGGAGGAAAAGATTGAAATTCTAATTGATGCTCATCAAAATATTGCCGAACTGATGTTACAACGTATAGAGTATGGAGACGACAGATTATCTACAATTTTGGAGGTACTCAAAAGAATGATACTTTTAGAGTACGTATTATTCTCATTTGTAATTATAAATTATGATTACACCTTAACATACAATAACACAATTAAAAAAGAAACTTATCCCCAACCGCGCCTTCACGACTATTTTCACCCAATACCAAACGCGACACATGGATAGGCGAGTTCTTGCAATATCCTTCGACAAAACACATAAATACGGAACTACGACGACATCTCTATAATGCACTGGCTCTCTATAGCGGGTTTAAGCTTCCTGGTTGCAGATCTAATTTTCCGAGATGGCTTAATAGCTGGAAAGCTAAAGTTGTTAGTGGACAGGATCCAGATTATATCAATGAAAAGGATGATAATTACGGTTACATCGATGATAGTGGTGATGATGATACTGATAATCAAGATGGTGATAATCTTAGTGATGATGTCGATGAAGAAGATAATAATCATAGAGTAAAGAAAAGGAAAAGGAAACCAATGTATTATCGTCCCACACCGTGGGAAATAAGGTGGAGATCTGAGATGCTCCAATTAAAGAAAACAATATATAACGATAAGCGTGAACTTGCACGTGACAAAAATGTTAGCGATGAATTCGCACCAAATGAATTATTCCACGGTGCTGGTGGTGAAAGTGGCAATAGCTCAAGATTGCAAACAGCAACGACATTGTCGTATGAGGAGGAAATGCCATTAGACGATTCTTTCGATGATGAAATATTAAGTAGCAACAATCGCATAGATAAAGGCAAACAAAAAGCATGTTAACTATTATTGCTATTAAAATGTCGAGAGCATTTAGTTAGCTATAATTGAATCATATGCCAGTATAATTATTGTAAGAGCATAACTAGAATTGAATCATATGCCAGTATAATTATTGTAAGAGCATAACTAGAGTTGTGATAGCAATAGTATTGCTTAGCTTTAGAAAGCTGAATTGAAAACTTGTTTTAATTTTATTTTTAAATAAAAATTAATGATTCAGGCTTCAAAATTAATTAAATTTTTACAATTTATTATCATTCATGAATGTTAATTATAATAAAAAATAGCTGGTTCTTGAAAAAAGTGTAATTATAACAGGATTTTTATATAATATAATTATAATGAAATAATTACAAAAAAATTTGATTGTAATTGCTAACTTGTATGAATACTTGATTATATTACTATAACTAATTATACTTATTGCAAAATCTTATTATAACTAATTATATATATTGCAGAATCTTGTTATAATAATCTAAAATCTTGTAATATTCAAACAAGAAATTTAAAAAACTCATAATTAAATATAAAATTACTTTGTACAATAAGTAGTTAAAGAGTTGTGAATTATATAATTTAATATAGAATAATATGACTAATCCCACTTCAGAAGGAATCTGGTGTTAAAATTACAAATTAATTTTCTGAAGAGTTATAATTTTGAAAATGCAAAGTATTTAGCTTTGCTTAAATTTCTGCAAATAGATTTAACATTTTTCAACAATAAATTTATACTATTTGAATATTATATTCTTTTATAATTATATTTAATTTAAATTAAAATTATTAATAAAATTTTTGAAATATTAAAATGGGATTTTTATGAAATATGAACTAAAAAATTTTTTTTTGAATATGAATGATAAATATAGTTAGAAATATTATGTGATCTTGTAATTATTTCTAGTTATAATCTAAAGTGATGAACTTTACTATAATAATATAATAATATATATTTGTTAGCTAACAAATTCATTTTATAATTAAGTTTAATTATTTTTTAAAATATTAAAATGGGATTTTTATAAAATATGAAATATGAACTAGAAAAAAAATTTTTTTTAAATATAAATAACAAATATAGTTAGAAATATTATGTGATCTTGTAATTATTTCTAGTTATAATCTAAAGTGATGAATTTTACTATAATAATATAATAATATATATTTATTAGCTAACAAATTTATATTATGATTAAGTTTAGTTATTTTGATATAATATTATTTACATTAATTTAGTACTAAATCTCTTAAAAACTCACTTGTAATGTCATATATCTCAAGTTCATATTTTTTAAAAATTTGTTAAATTGTTCTTATATATTAAATATTAATAATTTTTTAGTTCTATATATGAGTTCATGAAATATATATTAGCAAAATAATTGATATTGCCAGAAAAACAAATAATAACAATTAGAAAATATTAAAATAAGTATTATTTTGCAATTTTCTATTATTTTTTCAACAGCATAAACTTTAATAATAATCAATTTTTGAATTAAAAAAGAAAATTTATAAATTTCTTCAAGAATTTTACAATCAATATCAGTAGCAGAAACTTTTTTATATGAAATTTAAAAATAATATATTTTGCATTTGAACTATTTTTGCACTAGTTGTAATAGAAGTGATTTTGTGTTTACTATAACCAATCTCTCTTGACTTATTTAGTAAAAAGCAGACATGTCTCAGCAAAGTAGCAATATAGTCAAGTATAAAAAGTTCATCACAAATAGTTTGTTTATCTATCTCAAAATTGATTTGGTAACACATATCAGGTGAGATTTTGTATGAATGATCAGAATGGTGAATTTTTCAAATTTGATCATTTTTACGAAGTTGGATCATGTAATGTTTACAAGGAGTGAAGAGAAATACCAGTTTTTTGAGAAATTTCTATTATATTTCAATGATTTTGTCATTATAATTTCTTAACTGCTTCACAGTTTGCTTGTATGAGATTGTATATCATTTTGAAAGGTGATACTGATTATTAATTAATATATTATTACCATTTTATATGAGTTTTTGGAAAAGTTAATGAGTGCTTAATAGCATTGTTATGACTGAAAATTTATATAATTTACATAATTTTCATAACTTCTATAACTTCTATAACTTTTATAATTTTGATAATTATCACAATTACTGTAATTACCATTATTTATAACAATTACCATAATTATCACAATTTATATAGTATCAATTATTTATTAACTTATATAATTAATTATAAATGTAATATTTATTAGTGAGAAATATTTATTATAAATAAAATGTAATTGAAGCTTTGAAAAAGACATCAATTAATTAATACAAAAATCTAGCTAGTCAATAAACTGTTCTTGTTTATTATTAATAAAATTTGTATATTAATTGATTGAATAATAACTTATTAAGATACTTGCATTTATTATATACTATTGGATAACTGCCAAAGTTATTATAGAATATTAGTACTATATTACTATAGAATTATCACACACTAAGTAAATATAATATCTATTAGTAATAGTGAGAATCTATCTAATTAATAGAAAAAAATGCATTGTGTTATCACGATCAGGTTTCTGATAGGTATAATCGTAATATAGGTGTTCAATCAACATCTGATGACAATATTTTTATGGTGTTACAATCAGGTTTCTGATAGGTATAATCGTGACGTATGTGTTCAACCAACGTCTGATGACAGTATTTTTACAGTTACTCAATCTCATTGTAATTAGTATACTTCAGGATCGCCACGCAATACGTTTTCTTCTATCTTATAGATAGACTTTCACTATTACTAATAGATGTTATGTCTATTTAGTGTGGGACAGTTCTATAACAATACAGTACTGATATTTTATAGCAACTTTTGGTAGTTGTTCAATAGTGCGCAATAAATGCAAGTATTTTAATAATTTATTATTTTTAATCAATTAAGTGTACAAATTTTATTAACAATAAACAAGAACAGTTTATTGACTAGCTAGATTTTTGTATTGATCAATTGATGCCTTTTGGTTTATTCAAAAGATCCTTTATTTATA